GCGGTTCCTTTGTTTAATTGCTTTACAAATAATTTTGATGACGAAAACAATTATATAAAGGCTACTTGCTTTAGAGAAAACAGTAGTAAACCACTATGGGATTTTTACATCAGGAATCGGAGTAGGTTAAAGTAGAATTACAAAAAGATGCTTATTTTTAACAGTGCTGTTCGGTCACCACTGGAAATGTGTTATTTGGACTCCGTGTGTAAAGTAACCAACTGTGAAGTTCAGGTGCTCATCAGGTGGTAACAGTGATTTGCTCCAGGTCTGGCTGAAGTTCCTACTTAAACTTGTGTATGCAAGCATCTGCAAAGCTCTGGCTCCGCTAGTACCGGCTGGACACAAGGGATTCGTGTGTTATAGATGGGAACAGGGTTGCTAAAGGTTGATGTATTTCATTGCAGATGTGACGAATATGTCACACAGCTGGATGAGATGCAGCGGCAGCTTGCAGCGGCTGAGGATGAGAAGAAGACTCTGAACTCCTTGCTTCGGATGGCAATCCAGCAGAAACTGGCACTGACCCAGCGCCTGGAACATCTGGAGCTAGACCATGAGCAGTCCAAAAGGGTGCGCACAAAATCTGCTTCCAAAGCAAAGAGCAGTAACCCTACTGTAAGTCACATTCGGTCCTGTGGAGACAGGTCTGAAGGATCTGTCCTTAACAACCAGGTGTTTTGTAGCGAGAAATATAAAATCTATTGTGACTAGGACAGGTGTGTAGGAAACCATATTATGCATCTTATTTTATGCTGTAACTGTCAGCGTAAATCCCCACTATCTAACGTCGCGGTGAGTTGACTTGTACTAGTATGTTGTTGAACCAGGTAATACAAATTGTATTATGGTGGTCTTAACTGTAACTAATTCGTAAGTATGGGGATGCTATTAACAAGTTAATAGTGGAAAGGAATTAGCTTTTTCCACAATTAACATGTATGGGGTTTGCTGTTTATGGTAAGTGTTAAAGGAGCACACCTGATACGGTCTATATCTGGTGCTTCGAGTTTTAGTTTGTATAGCACAAATGTGATCCTTTCTCTGGGGTTGCAGCATACTTCAGCAATGCTTTCACAGGCAGAAGCAAACAGAAAACCTTCCTTGTTATTGTGGCTTCAGAAGTGGTGAAAAGCAAACGTTAAAGTGAGAGGTATGTCTTGAAAATGCAGAGCATTTTGAAACCGGAACCAAAATTAATTTGCCTATTGTGGCAGATATTAAGAACTCGCTGTCGTATCACCACTGACCAAAGTCCTAAAGCTTTCATAAGCTATAAAAGTTAGGAAAAAAAACTTGGTAGGGTTCATTATTTACACCCTGCAACTTGCACATTTGTATTAAAAATATGCAATATTTAGCCCATCTGATATAAAACTTACCATGTTAAGAGTTGGGATCCTACCCGGTAGATGGTTCCACTTTAAGAAGTTATGCTGTGGAAAAGTGTTGTGTCCTGAAAGGATCTTTGTGGTCTCACGTTGCTCCTTGCAAGCAGAACACCTTGGAAAGAATCTGTTTTCTGTATTATTGTAGCCACACAACATCCATGTGTAGAATGAAGGTAACTATGGTCCAGTGTTGTCAGTCACAAAAGAAGTTTTCTTAGCTTGCAGTATTAATCTGAATGGGGTGGTACTTCAGAGCGCTGATCCTTTTTTTTAAATACACAAAAGGTGTTGCATTCCTTATGCAAGCACGTGTTTCACAGGGCTCTATGTTACAGGCACAGGAAACCGAACCAGATCATCCTGCTGATCGTTATTTCTGAAGTAGCTTAGTATACGTATTAATCCTTAAAAACAAATAAACCTTTGTCTGCTATTGAACTTTTAAGGGGCCTTTTTAGCCGCTTAATTACAATATGTTTGATAACATAAAAGTGTACTTCATAACTGGTGCCTACGTAAGAGAAAAAGATTGAAAATGTCGCTTCTAAAATGGTGGAAGATTTGTGGAGCACAACAAGGCACACTTTTGTCTCTGAACCGGAGTTTTGAAGTGCCTAGCCTCAAGCTTCATTTTAATGTAAAGCCCTGTTCATTTTGTACTCTTTCAAATAATTTTGAATGCCTGTCGTATTCCTGAAAGCAACGCGAGACTGCACAGTTGTCTGCTTGATAGTGATGTTCTCTGAAGCCATTCTAATGTTCCTGGGTGGTCCTGCCTTGTGTCACTGCCATTTCTCATAGATGACCAGCAGCTTGCTTCCCACGCATTGCCGCTCTGCCTATAAGTAGTCAGGAGATATCATGGTACTAATACAAGGTAATAAGGAGCACAGCTCGTTTCACCCGTGAGGGGAAACCATTTGGGCTTTTGGCTTCCCAGACACTAGAGGGGAGGGAAGAAAGAGACTTCTAAATTTGTAGAGTGAGGCTTTGAACAGATGGGATTGGACGAACCCTTGCTACAGAGCTGGGCAAAATCGGGCTGCCATGGTCCAGCGCCAGAATTGCATTTACCGATACAAGGGGAGCAAAAAAAGCCCCAAGTATTTTAAGTCCAATGTGTTGCTCAAATGTGACCACTCGAAGTTTAAACAAACAGGAATTCTGGCTTTAGAAACTGGGCCCTGTGTGTCTATTATTACTTTTTTTAGAAAACACTGAATTCTCCTGAATTTGAGCTTTAATATTGCTAAACAGCAGGTTTGATGTTTTAGAAGCGAGACATCTTTTAACAATTTTCAATCCTGCTTTTCTCTTCTTTGCTGCACAATCTTCCAAAAGGCCTTTATTCTTCTCATTCCTGCATTAAGTGTAAGTTAAAAAATACTTGGTAAAAGCAGGCATTTGAGTGCAAACTTTCTGTGCTTCCGTAGAAACGGTCACAGTTCTGCTTCCGCTACGGTGGGGAGATTTAGCACAGCTTTTTCTGCTTCCGTGTCTCAGTGGCAGCATTTTTGCAAAACACTAATGGCAAAAAGGTCAATTGCAGAAACCAGCTGAATGCATTGTTGGGTTTTTCAAACTGACTGGAACTTTCTGTAAAGATTTCAGCGGTCCCAGACAGTGACTGTTGTGCGTCTTGGCTCACACTTCCAGTCCCAAGCATGGACCACTTTGCTGTCAGCCCAGTAGGCTTAGTAGTCGTTGCCATCTTCATTCATTCCTGTGGATCTTTAAAAAACAAAAAAGCCAAGAAACCCGACAGCCATTTGAGCTTGTCATGGTTATGGTTTCACTTCTTTTAGAACCTGTTACAAAAAGAAATGAGGAATGGTGGTAAGGTGACTTGATCTTGCTGTTTGTATTTTTAGATAGTATTTCAGATTGAGTCTTGTAATTCTTGATTAACAATTTCTTGAAACATACGTTTGCTCTAAGTCTTTCATGTCACTTTCAGCGGGTTGGGATAAAGCATGGAAAATTCCTTAAGCCGTCACCTACCTCTGCAAGCAGGCTCTTCTTCCGATTGATACTCTCTGCGTTGGCCTGCATGATCCACTGACCTGCATGTTTCTGGAGAACCTAAACCTTCACTGAAAATGTTTCTTGCACATTTATTGCTGTTAACTTGTGCTTGAACAGCAAAGCTTTATTCAGTACTTGTAAGAAACCTTCTTTCTGCAAAGCTACTGCTTCCAGGCTAAACCCGTAAAGTGTTCCGTTGCCTTGGAAAGCATCCACGACCTAAAATGGCTGCTTCTGCCCCAGCAAGCTAACCGACCCCCCAGCCAGCTAACCTGCTTGTGCAGCATGGTGCTTTACATTTTCAGGTCTTTAAGTGAGAAATAAACACTGATACTCTTTTTTTTTCTTTTTTTTTCCTAATGCTATTTTATGTTTCCATTTTTCAGCTGTAGGGTAGTCCCCGGAGAACGCCTTTCCAACAGTGCAACAGCATTTCTTAGCCTCTTTCGTTGTGGTTGACAGTGGTAGCCCATTGCACAAAGAATGGAAGCCACTGACCTGATCCTAACTTTTGAAAACACCTTTTTCCTAAATACTACCTGAAAGGTCCCTTTTCTGCCTGAAGCTATAAAACAAACGGGCTTTACCTGTAAGTGCTGCTGCAGTAAGAAAACTTACAAGTGCTGAAGAAGCCTTCTTCACATGTAACGACCACCGTGTTGGCTTGCGAGCTACCGGGGACGCGTGGCTGGGGGAATTGCTTATGTCATTGCCGATGGTCATTTTTTATCAGATTGTTAAACCTGTGCACTTTTGATATTTTGATATTTTTCTTTCGCTTCTTTAATTCCTTATGTAGAAGAGTTTATATAAATGCAGTGGTTTGTGCTCATCGTCTCTCTCCAGTTTCGGCTTGTGATTTTTGAATTCTACATCAGCATGTGGCAGAGATTTGAGGGGGGCTCTAGACTGAGGTTAGAAAGAGTTTCAACAGAAGCCAGGAGCTCTGCTAAACTGTGTGCTGTGCTTCAGCAGCTTTTTTATTGTTATGAAATGTTAAGCTTTATATGTTTAAATTACAGATTATTTTTTTTTTTTTTTAGTTGCCATGTTCATTAAGAAATCCAGGGTATTTGAATTCTGGGGTTTTTTTCATATTGTTTATTTTTTTAAAATACAGTTTTGTTTTTTTTTTTTTTAGCTGCCATGTTCATTAAGAAATCCAGGGTATTTGAATTCTGGGGTTTTTTTCATATTGTATTATTATTCTTAGGAATAGTTCAATGTAACAAGAAGAAAACTTGACTTTGCTCTGGTTAAAACAGTAATAGGCACTTGAAAAATATTAAGTAAGTAGTATTACCTATAGACTCCAGAATTCCTGGGTTTTAGGAAGTTGAAGTATTATTGATTAACAGAATTTTATACAACTATACCAGTTAAATTCCAAATTGGAATTGTTTTGTTACTTTTTCATTTTATTGTGCCAAATTATGGTACATTTAGAAAGAAAAATTCTAAAGTTGTCAATGATAGGGTGTTACATATCAGCGCCTTTCTGTCATAATTATTGCCAGTAGTGCCTTTAATCATTTTAAGGGAGACTCTAGGAATAGCTTAGTCTAAGTCCTGTAACCTGGGAGAAATGGAACGGCTGGTTTAGAATTCCGTAATGACATGGAGCAATAAGTGCAAAGTGAACTCCCCTTTCGCACATTTTTCATGGGTAGTCTTACTAGAGAGATTATATATTTGAGGAATTGTAAAAAATTCTGTTAGTCAATGATATTTCATCGTGTAAATCCTTGCAAATTCAGGGGTATAGAGAAAAAAAAACAACACAACAAACCTAAACAAACCCGAATACGCTTTGGGAACCAAATGGACTTGTGTCGAACAAATGAGCAGGATGTGCTCATCCATTTGTGGTAGCAGTACGGGGGACGTGTCAGGAATACCAATGTTCTGGTGGCTTATGCGGTGGTGGATGCAGTTAACCATAGTATTGTTTGCAGACGTGCACAACAAACCACGGACGTCTTCTCTTGCATGTTGTATCTAAGCATCGCGATTTCAGGAAACAGAAATGGCAAAGTGCATCAACAAGCTGTACCTGGCTCCTACCGCTTGTTGAGGCTTAGACGAATGATTAAATTGGTACTTGCTGGGGGGGAGCCTTCCCACTCCTCAAAAAAAGTACAAATTGAAATAATATTGACAGTGGGGAAAAGATTTCTGTTTGCTGGAAAAAAAGCATTATTATTCCTAGATGTGGGGACTTGTATTTCCATCCTCTGTTGCAGTATTGATTCATAAGAAATATTGTTGCATTTAAAGTTACTACATTTGTATGTGGGTATTTATTTGAAATGATGTCGCAGTACTGTATTATGTTTTATGTGCATTACCTTTTAGTGGTGGATTGGTCTCCATTTAACGTCAGATGCATGTATGCTTGCCAAGTAACCTTTACTCAGATCTGGGAAAAAAAAATGTTAAAAGAGAAAATGCGAAAACTTCTTAAACATGTAACTGTATGAATTGGATAACCTTAGGGGACATAGAGGGCAAAATGTTACTTCCAAATTAATCGGAAAGTGTTCGATATAGGACAGCAATCTGCCTGCGTAAAGGTGGTCACCTTGGCAGTGTCAATAAAAGAGAAAAGGAATCACGTTTCCTGCCTGCTGGTTTTCTGTTTTGAGAAGGTGCCACTTTAGCCAGTCCTCCCAAGCCATTGCCAGCGTGGGGCTAAAGAAATACCAATTTCTTTTGGAGAGAAACTGAAAACGCAAAACTTAAGTTTGCTGCAGAACTGGGAAATTAATACTTGTGCTTGTATGTGGGGAGCGCCATCCTCTGTGCTGTTCCGGGAGGTTTTCCTGGGTTAGTTTTAGCCTTGATCAGACCAGTTCAATCCATTCCACTGAACAGCCATGCCAACGCTGGTACCAGTACAGGAGAGGGGAGGGTAGGACCAATGCTTCTGGTGGCAGGGTGACAAGCCTTCCTGCATTCCCGTCCTCATTCCTCAGGTGCTCTCCAAAACACGGTAAGATGGTGATTATCTGGCAGAATTAACAAACTCACCAAAACTCACACTTAAAGTCTGAGGGCAAGGCCCCACCAATCCAAGGATATTCCTGGATTGATGGATGGATGTTCCCCCTAGAAATATTAAATATGGTTTTATGCTATAGTTTAACGACTCTTGCGTCCCCAGGTAGGACTCCTAGAACTATGCTGCATCTCATTTCTCTATCCAGCAGCAGTCACCAGCAGCATTGCACCATCATGAGTGCAGAGCAGTGTGACAGCTTTTTCCATGCCTGAGTAATGCTTGTTGAGCTGTGTGCAGTCAACCAGCAGCACGAGTTTGCTGGGACACTTGCCTGATTGTATAGCTTTGCATTCACTATAACGGGAGTTTTACCTGCAGGTTGATCTAAGGGAGAAACATTTTGTAAATACATAGGCATGGCAGTGGCAGAAGAACAAGAACAGACCTGTGCAAACAGTAAACCAGCCTGATTCAAAAATGCTTTAGCAAGAAAAGAAGATAAGGAGAATATTTAGCTTAAAAGCTTGTCTAGTGAACGGCTGTTAATTAAAACATCCAGGGCCTGGAGGGAATGTTGGAGTGGGGCAGCGGGGGGGCAGTCACCAGCCGCATTCCAGGCTGCAGGTGTTGCTGCATTTGGTCTCCAGGCGAGGAATCTGCTGTTAATGTAACATTCCTGCCTGCCCTGCATTCAGTAGTGATCATCTGCTTCTCATGAGCAAGGCCTGGAAAAAAGCTGCTGACTTCCCGGAGGAGGAACAGGGCAGATTCTCAGATGTACCAGGATGCCTAAAGATAAAGGAAAGCAGACCTGAAAGTCTCCATGGACCCAGTCCTGCAGGATGAAGGTGAAGAAAATGAAGGCGTAGGTGCTTATTGGAGATCCCACTGGGGTAAGGTGGTAAAATTCAGCTCCACAAATATTTGTGGAAGTTACCGTTTCACAAATATATTCACATTCATGTGTTTTTTTAAAGACTGATGATGTAGATTGACCTAAAGGACCAGGAAAAGGTATTTTTCCACCCAAAGACTTAGCAAAAACAGTGAAAAACTATAAAGATCACTTCTATGAGCTCAAAACCAAGCAAAGCAGCTCGTTAATAGGATTATTTTGAGTATTATATCGAATGTTTACATATAAAAGCTCCAAGCATTGGTGTTTGCTGGGAAAAGCAGTCATGTACAAACTGCTCAGATTACTTCACCCAACTCCCTCCTCCTCCTCCTCCTCCAAGAGAGCTGCTGTCCTTTCCTGGTGAAGGAGGGCGGTTGCTGCTTCTCAGCCCAAAGGCAAGTTTCCACAAGAAGAAGCTCTCGAAGCTGCAGAGTGAACTTTTTTCCCCTCCTATACTGAGCATGGAATCTCCAAGGTGATCCGAGACCTGATCTGGAACGTTGAATGTGCATTGGCCAGCCTTGCCTTACTCAGCCCCGTGACTTCGGGCCATACTGCTCTTAACGAGGTCATCAGACCCAATCAAGTGAAGTGGCTGTAAAATGTCTTGGACCCAGTAACTGTGCTTAAAAAAAAAAAAGCCAACAAACAAACAAGCTGGGCCTAGTTTTAGGTATTCAAGTAGACTCTTTCTGAGGTACAGGCAATGCATCCAGAGGGAGCAGTGGAAGGGAAGCTGATTTTTGTGATTATGCTTGAGAAAACTTGGGAGAAAGTTTTAAAATTGACTTAAAGCCTAAAGCCTAACATATACCGATACTTCACTGGAATGATACGGGGGATGTGCTGCTCCCTGATTAAGGCTACGTGTAGAAGCAAAGCTCGGCTTAGCTACGTGTAGGTGAATTTAAGCTAGGCTGAAGCAAGTTAAGAGTGTTCACACCCAGGTTTCCACCAGCTTAGCGAGCGAGAGTCACAGCTGGTTAACTCGGACAAAAATGACTTCGTGGGCAGAACCCCCAAATACTGAATCAAACATTTACTGAATCGGGTGCTGATTGGGACAACATGCCACGAAGGCCAAAAATGTGCCTGCCCAGTTCTCTTCATGGTGCAAGAATTTTGAGCAGTTTTATGTTTTTTAAATATCTTTGTGATTTTACTCTTAAACGCATCAGCAGCTGGGCACTTGAGTAGTGAATGTCTTATGCTGAAATACTGTCACGTGCTTAGCAGGCAGGAGAAACTTTAAAACTGGTGATTTTGTGCATCACTTTAAAGAGGTCTCGCGTATTAAAAGAGAATTTTTAAAAATAATTTCTCAGTAGCGCTTGCATGATCCATTATTCTCAATAACAGTATTTTTAATCTTTTTTGAAACATTGAGTCTTCATCCCTGTGGGTATTTAAAAGCCGGGCAGACGCGGTGCTTAGGGCCAGGGTTTAGTGGTGGGATGGCAGGGTTAGGGTCACGGTTGGGCTTGGTGAACTTAAAGGGCTTTGCCAACCTCAACGATTCCATGATTCTATGATTGATTATTTCTGCTTTTCAAACAGAAATGTATTTGAGGAATTACAAATCTCCCATATTTAAGTTTAAGGGGAGAAGGAAAAACAACTGTTCATGTTAGTGCATGCTGCTTCATATGGATTGGCATTAAACAGATTCTCCTTTGTCTTCTCCTTGGAACCTTGCTCCCTGCTTTTTACACAGAAATTTTAGGTTAGAACTGTCTCCCCGTGTTCAGGTGCGTGCTGACTCAAAGCTAAGGACAACACTCAGTTTGGCAATTTCATGATCATGAATGTTTTTCCCTTCATTTCTGGTGATGACACCATTCCTAGCTAGGACCATTGGTATCCTTGTGCCAGATTCTATTGAGTAAACGTTCAGGCAGCCTCTGCTAATCTCGAACATTATTTAGCTTATTTTCCTGTATGGCTTCTACCCTGGGATTCAAATTAATGCAGCTCGAGGTTTATCAAGGGATAAAGAGTGAAGTATTTGATCTGGCAGTAGAACATTGGCTCCCTAGTGCCGCCACATGAACGATGAGCCGTTGTTAAGCCAATTATCAAAGTCTCGGTACCGAGCATCAATATCTCTCTGTTTAGAAGATCGACATCTCTGTCGGGAGAAGACTGCTAAGCCCATGCTACTGACAGCTCGGGAGATTTTT